GGGAAGGACCAGGAGATGCTAGCGAAAAGCTTTCACATATTAATATAATGAAACTTATTCCAGTTGTGTAAATTTCTGCTAACATGAGAAGCCATGTGTAGAAAGAATCTATGGATGAAATACAGGCAATCATGTAAACACTAAGAGAAATGCACAGCTTTAGAATTAGGACTGAATTCTTTGAACTGTAGCTGCCCCCTCTCTGCCGGTCTCTGGAAGTAGAGCACTATGATGAGGGAACGAGGCTGTGGGTACACTTCACTACTAACTGAGTACAGGGCACGCACAAGCTAGGTTCACCTCCACCTCACCCCCACCCTGCAGTAAGAAACACAAGTCAACAACAATTCATTAGTTTATCTGGAACTACTTAAAATAGTACTTTTGCTTATTTTGTTTGAAACAGGGTCACTATTATAGCCCCGGCTCTCCTGGAACTTGCTGTGTAGACCAGGATGGCCTCAAACTCACAGAGACTGGCCTGCCTCTGCCTACTGAGTGCTGGAATTGAAGGTGTACACCACCACCACCCAGTACAATAGTGTTTTTAACACCACCACCATCGAAAAAGTTACAAAGACAACTATTTGGCATTCATAAAAAAATAGGATATTTTAAAATGGATATTAAATCCTCTTTATACACTATCAGAAGCTGTACTACCAAGAACTCCTTAACGTAACCTGGGGAGATGATTCAAAAAGCAAAATTCTTGCTGTCGAGCATGAGGACTTTGGTTTGCATTCCCAACCCCTGCCAGTGCTGGAAGGCAGAGACAACAGGACCCCAGGGGCTTGCTGGTTAGCTAGTATAGCTCTGGAGTACAGAAAACCATCATCTTATGGTACATTTTCCCCAAAAGGGTTGTCAGTAACTATAGCTGCATAGTAAGAATGAAAATAAGGTTTTAGTTGATATTACTGAGCTTCCAGTAGAAATAAAGCTAACTGAGTTCAGAACAATTTTTACATTTTGTATAAGGGCACTCTCAGGGTACAGGAAGAAATGTTAAAATTATTGTGTATCAATTTCTTGACATTAGGCACTCAACAGTCTTGGTATTTGAACTAACAATAATATTTTTGGTTTTGGTTTTGAAAGACCATAGAAAGCAAAAATAACTGTAGAGGGGATAAAGAAATAACTGCTTAAGGTTAGGTATTAACTCCTTAAAGTTAGGTATAAGCTCCTAACTATCATGGCTCATTAAGTATGATAGTAAATTAGGTTAGTAAACACTAAAAAATAAAAACTGCCTTCCAGAACATGTCAATGCATCCATGTAATATTCAAAGAAGCAATATGTAAACCAATGAGAATGAATGCCTTGCTATACTAACATGAAGTTATCTCTAACACTAAGACAAAGCACAGCATGACCTCAAAAACCAGAAAAGATCCCAAAAAGGCCCACTTATTTTGAACACAGAAGTTCTATAATAATTTACAATTAGGGCTTTACAGAAGAATCAACAGATATGAACTAGGCAAGGGGAAAGAATAAAGGACTGCAAACAATTTAACCTCTGAGGAAGGCAAAATCTAGTCAGAGCTGCTGACAAAAAGGCTTATCTTAATAGGAATTTGACATAGGAATCCAAGAACAGAAGCAAATAAGATTTTTTCAAAGAAAGGGATTGTGACAAGAGGTTCACTAAGTACTCACTTAAATTATTAAGTTGTCAAGGAAACAAAATGCACTCATGCAGCTCTGAGGGAGAAAGCAATTTTATGATTGGAGACCAAGGGGAAAAGAAGCAGCAGCAGTTGCCCCACTGCGTGACTGGCAGGTAAACACCAGAACCAAACACCAAAGCAGAGCAAGGGCAACACTGACGTTTTTCCTGCCACGCACAGAACATGGCCTTCCAGCTGCTATTAGACCTAGTCATCCCATCAGTAAACGGGGGAGAGAAAAACAAGGCAAGTCTGATAGCTCTAGTCTGTAGCACTGCCACAATTTTTCTGGCCTCCACACACAATTAAGTCAAATCTGCAATTATGTTTAAGACATTCCATAATTCAAGCACCCAGTCCAACATTCCTTTTGGTGGACTTACAATAGGTTGCCAGCATATAAAAGCAACTGATACAAAGATTTTTTTTTAATAAAAGGGTGAATGGATGCCTAAAGGAAAGTATTAAGTCAGGAAAAAGGAAAGGGTTCAGAAAGGGAACATAGAAATACTGGAGACAAACAGCTACTTTTTAGCTTCCCCTCCAAACAAAATCTTTGCATATATTCAAACAAGTATTAATAACAACAGCTAAAACTTTGTGTCCACCGTCACACCTTAGTGAGAATACCACTTCTCAAAGGTATGATGCAACTTAGCTTGGCAGGGTTCCCAAAGATGTATTTTAATACAGTGGACCTCATTATAAAGGAGATCCCATCTTGGGATATTCCCTAGCCCACGCATTGCTATAATTACACAGCTCAGCCAGGACTGGCTAAGAGACCCTGAAAGCAGAAAATAATCCTATTCTAACTGCATTACAGTTTTAAGAAACCCTTGCTCCAGAAACAACATGGAAGGAACAGGTAGTAAATACCACACATTTAAATAATAAATGCATTTATTATTAGCCATCTGGTAATATTATATCATGTACCATGTCATGCCATATGGTCTCAGGAAAAAAGAATCACCAAGGAAATATAAATGGTCAGAAGTAAATGCTTAACAGCAAAATTATACATACACTTAGTAAGCTCTTGTCACTTATCGGAACATTTTATTTTGAACACCTATAAAGTAATGCAAATGCAGGCCATGAAATCTGTTCATTCTCCAACATAATTTTACATACCACTGTCTACATTCCATGTTGAAGATGTATGATAACAGCAAATTTCTTTAAAAAATAACTTAATGTTCAACAAAGTTATCAGCTAAATCATACTTTACCTAGGGACACATAAGTTTTGCTGAACTATTATGTTTTAAAAGTTACAAATTTATATATAAATATATTATACAAGTATTTAAAAGACTAGTATAATACATGCAAATGTTTATAGCAATTATACAAAAAAATTTTACTTTTTTTTAAATAATGGACAGGCTTTCCCTTTGTAATTAGCTTTTGGTGCAGCTAAAATTTCTGACAAACTTTTTTAAAACCCAGGTAAGATAAAAATTTAGAATAACATATGTCATTATACGCTGTACAATTTTTCATCTTTACATGTACTTATTAACGATATCCCTTTAAGTTCACATAAAGAAGGCAGTTCAATTAGAAGGCCACAAGATGTTTCAGTTTCCTGCCAATGTCAACTTTAAAACTGTCTCTTGCTGGGTACAGGGTACACACCTATAATCCCAGCACTTAAGAGGCAGAGGCAGAAGGACCATGAGTTCTATACCGCCTCAGCCACATGCTGAGCTCCTGAAAAGCCTGGGCTGCATAATACTATTTCCTGGAATAATCTATTTTGTTACATATCATATTTGTATCTGTAGTCCAATAGAGGTCCACTTTTTATCATAATCTTTCCCAACCAAATATATTTATCATCTTTTACACAAGACAACTATTCATCACCAAACATTAAACCCTGGGAGGGGGGCAATAGGAAACATCTGTCTTTTAACTAAGTAAATTAAAAATACAGTTTCAGGAAATATGACCATGCTGTCAGTTAGTTATTGGTGATTTAATTTAGCTTCATCTAGCCTACATATTCTCAAGCACTGGTATAGGAGAAATGTCCAGAAAGTGCCAAATAGAAAGTTGTAGCCCTAACACTCCTTCAGGAAGAAAGGGGGTAGGGGGCAAGATAAGACTAGCTCCCTCAAGTAAGTCTTCCATACAGAGATGTAAACTCTGCAACAAAGTTCTCACATTAGTGCTATAGCAGAGAGTGACTGTGTAACTCCTATCCATTAGTGTACTCACACTTCTATCATAGTCTCAAACAGCTTTACAATCAAGAAAACTAGACATGCACTGCCCGGTAAAGTGAAGGCCAGAGGCACCTGTGCCTTGTAAGACAAAGGCATATCCGATTCCTGGAGAAAATAGACAGCAGATGTGACCCCTAGCATTTAGAGAATTAAAAACAATGTATCCTAAAAATAAATTTCCATGTCAACGGAACAAAGTTGTTTATAAATAAGAAGGAATGTGGAGGTGTGGGGAAGACGAGAGGAAGCTTCAGCAAGCTAAGTACCAAAAGCCAGGAAACAAGACAGAATGAATGGTAACTAGGGATAAGGGAAACAGATTGAACTAGGAAACGGAAGAAAGGAAGAGTTTTATCCTCGGACTCTGAGAAGCTAGGGGAAATAAAGATACCAAGTGGAGACTGACCTGAGTACAAATTCAAGCTGGAAGTTGGAGTTATTTCAAATTAAGAAACAAGAAAAAGCCAGGTAGTGGTGGCACATGCCTTTAATTCCAGCATTCAGGAGGTGGGGGCAGATGGACCTCTTTGAGTTCGAGGCCAGCCTAATCTACAGAGCAAGCTCCAGGACAGCCAGGTCTACATAGAGAAACCATGTCTCAAAAAGCCAGGGAGAGAGGCAGAGAGTGGAGGGAGGGAGAAAGGAAGGGAGGGAGAGAGGGAGGGAGGGAGAGAGGGAAATTTAGGCTAACTCAAACGATTGGTACTGAACACATTTTGGGCAGAGACGGCATAAAAGGGTGGAAGACATTATTGTGAACACACTGCTAATGATATATCAAGAGTAGAGGATGGATTTCCCAAGTAAATACAATGAATCAGGAAAAAGAATATTGCAGAGATAAGAAAGGGGACAGTAGGAGAATTGGGAAACAAAATTAAGTCACACTAATCAACTGTTGTGTAAAATATGGTATTGTTTATGGGATACAACGCTCAAATAGTAAATGTAGTAAGTTTCACATATAGGAGAAAAGAATAAATTCACCAGTTTGACAATGTAGTAAGTTGAATGGCGCAGGGACGGGTTAAGAGAAGCAAATACTAAATACAGGTAAACACGAAAGAGGCAAAAAAGAAAAAAATGGGACAAAAAGCAGGACCGACACAGATCAATGAAACCCACTAAAAACGAAAAGCACGAAGGATGTCGCTGAAGAGGTTGTAACCCAAATCGCCCGCAGTGCGAGGGAGCCAGGGAGGCAAGTGAAACCTGATGGAAACTTGACAGCTTTGGGGCTCTGGGGAGGGATGGGGGGGTGAGCAGCTTCCAAAGTGTCCAGAAGGATTTGTGAAGATAACAATAGGTAACGATGCGAGGGAGCGGTGTAAATGGAGAAGGCCTCAAAGGACCAGGGCAACAGAAGCGCAAAAGACGCTCTTCGGAGGAAGCTAAGGTTAGAAGCAAGCGGGTACAACTGGGAAATGATGAGCGCGGTGGCGGATGGGGATGGGACGGAGGTTAGGGGGTCAGCATGGGAACACTGGCCAACATTATCATTCGGGGACCAGAGACCGGGATTGGGGGAAGAAAAAATAAAAAAGCTTCGGAAGCATTCACATTTGGGGCTGGAGAAGTAAAGGCTACACCACAAAATCATCCCCTGGGCAAATCGGGTCGACAGGAGAAATCCCCTTCCCCCACCCCCGAAACAAGTAGAAAAGTGGGAAAGGGACCAGGGCCTGCAAAGGGAAGCTGGCGAGGATGCGCTCCGTCATGCCCACCCCCGGGGAGTACCCGCACATCAGGGCCGGGGGACCCGGGGGGCACTGCCCGGGCCACTCAGCTGCATCCTCGACGCCGTCCCCGCCGGGATGCCGGGCTGGGGAGCTCCGGCAGGGGATGGATGACCTTCCCCAGCAGCCCGGGGTTTTCTCCCGACCCTAGGGAAAGGCGCGGCCCCCGCTCTGTCTGCCTCGCCCCCGGCGTCCCCCGGCTGCCCCGTCCCGGTTCTGGGTGGGGGCCGGGGAAGCCCCGGGGCCGCCGTGTGTGTTTACGCAGCGAGGAGCCACCAGACGGCGGAGGAGGGGGACGCTGGGTCTCCGGCCCCATCCCCGCCGGCCGCCCCGCCGCCGCCTGCGTGGCCCCCACCCGGGAAGCCGAGCCCCCCGCCGCGGGAGCCCCGGGGGAGGGCGCCGCCACTCACCTCCTCAGGAATGGCCGGGTCCGCAGCCGAAGAGGCCGCGGCGCCAGCGCCGGCCTCGGGCTCCATGTCTCCATTGAACAGAGCCTGGCCCTGCTCGGAGCCGCCGCCGCCGCCGCCGCTGCCGCCGCCGCCGCCGCCGCCGCCACCGCCGCCGCCGCTACCGCCGCTGCCGCTACCGCCGCTGCCACCGCCGCCGCCGCCGCCGCCGCCGCCACTCAGCGCCGCCATCTTCGAAGCGCAAGCCGAGCGGCAGCCGCGGGGCGGGGAGCGGGGGGGGGGGTGGAGGGAGGAGCAGGGCCGGCGGAGGCGGGCGCGGAGGCGCGGGGAGGGGGGCGGCGGGGAGGGGGTGGGCGTGGGCGGAGCGGCCCGGGGCGGAGGCCACCTCAGGAACCCGCCGGCGGCCCCCGGGGTGCAGCCGAGCCCGAGGGGAGAGTGGAGGGAGCAAGGGCGGGGGGAAGGGGGTGAACGGAGGAGGACGGAGGGGGGGCAGGGAGGAGGGAGGGAGGGGGCGGAGACGACGAGGAGTCGCCGCGGCAACGGCGTCACCCGCGTGTCACGGCGGTGACGTCACCGGCGCGTGACGTCACCCGGTGGGGGGAGAGAGCGCTCTTCCCCCCCCCGCACATCCCCTCCCCGAGTCCCCGCCGCCGCCGCCGCCGCCGCCTCCTCCTCCTCCTCCTCCTCCTTCTCCTCCTCCTCCTCCTCCTCCTCCTCCTCCTCCTCCTCCTCCTCCTCCAGCCGCCCTCGCGCTCCCACGGTTTCCACCCCCCTCCCCTCCCCTCCCCTCCGCTCCCCTCCCCTGCCGCTCAGTTTCCATGGCTCCGGTTTCCTACTTCTCCCCCCACCCCGTCCTCAAGCCTGTGCTGTGCTGTCATGTGGGGTTTTTACTAGAAGAGCCGGGGGTGGGGGTGTTGGAAGAGAAGTAAGTTAGGATCCTAGAGGAAGCCTGTACACTACTCGGTGCTGCCGTTGCAAAGAAGCTCTGGGTGTCGTAAAAAGCAAAACAAACAAAGCAAAGTAAATAAATAAATAAATGACCCTTAACACCCCAAGGTTGAAACGTCAGCCTAACTAAATTTCATACAACTACACGTCCTTGGAGCAGCTGCAAATGCTCGGTGCGGGATTCGTAGCCTGTCCTTACAGGGCTTGATGGGTTGAAGTGAGCATGAACGAAAACCTCACACCTGGTTGTCAGTGTATTCGTTACCCGGTTTCATTCACTCAGCGTCAACGGCTCCTTTCGCTAGGGCCTGAGGAGAGCACACGACATTGTACACGCTCTAAGCATCAAAACTTTTTTATTTCAAAGAAAACCACTCAAAATATTTGTAGACTGTGGCCCAAGATTCCTCTGCAAGCTGTATGGGGGGGAGAGTGGAAGAGTTAAATTATCTTTGAGATGCCCAAGTTACAGAATGAAATTAAATCCAATTTATTGTTTAAAACGCATTTAACCAAAAAGCAGGGAATAAAGGAGAGAAAATGTGTGTTAAGGGAAAGAGAAAACAGGAGTGAAGAACAGAAGTCACCAATACTGCACAGTTAATTGCCAAAGTAACCCAGCATGGGCACGGAAGCTTGAGTTGACTTGTCTGTGTGCATGTCTATTAAAGGTAAGGGGGCCAGTCGCCGCCAGCCTCATTATTGTATTCTGGATGGTTTGAGATTAGAAAGCGTCTGAAACAGGATGCCTGTGAGTTTGACCCGGTCTCCATGGTCAACCTGGGAGCTGATCTGATGCTCCTGTTTCAAGGTAAGAGGTGCATGTGTGGCGGCCTGGTGAATCACAACATTAAGTTCTGGTCTGTTGAAAAAAATACCACCAATCAAATAACCATTCTGTTTGCCAAGGTCATTATGGTGCATTCTCTTCCAAGCAGGGAAGTCCCCTTGAGAGCTATATTTGAGTCAGAAGATGGTTTGACAGATATGAGTACAAGAGATTAAAAAAAAAACCTGGGGGTGGGGGTGGTGACAGTGTCGGTCACACACACCTTTAGGCAGATCTCTGAGTTCAAGGCCAGCCTGGTCTACGGAGCAAGTTCCAGGACAGCCTTGGCTGTTACACAGAGAAACCCTGTCTTGAGGGAGTGGGGGCAGGGTCATAGGGCAATGTTATCAAATCTGTGTTAGTCTAAGGCACCCTTTAAAAAAACAAAAACATGAACACATAATGACTAAGAGTACTAAAATAGGGCCAGCAACTCAGGCAAGGGACCCTTCCCCTTGATTTTGTCTGAATCACAACTGTCAGACTTTGGGTTGTTAGTTTTTAATCCTTAACTGCCCTAGTTTATTTTTTTAAATTATTCCCTAAGAATAAATATATCATTATAACACTTATTTTTTTCATTTTTTAAAGATTTATTTGATTATGTATATAATGCTCTGCAGTACAGAAAGGGCCGCCAGATCTCATTACAGGTGGTGGTAGTCCTCCTCACCCTCTTGACATGAAACTAAAGCATAGCAGCTTCACACAAAGGCCTTGTGGGCTTTTCTCCTGCCGGTGGGGCCCCTGCTAATGACTGGTTCAACAACACCGAGGCTAGGTTTACACAACAGCTGTGGGCCAATCAGCCACTGAGTCTTCCTTCAGACTGACCAGCCCTAAATTAGGGAAGCAAGACCTTTCAGAGACCTAAAGAACCCCAGGCCTGAAGAAGACACAAGATTTTTCAGTTTTCCAAGTCCCCTGTCGGCTTTGTGTAGGGTCTTTTTTTTTTTTTTTCTGTGTGCCTGCTGTATGTTTCCTTGTCACCAATAAAAGCTGTTCTTCAACTGCAAAAAATAAATAGACAAAAAAATTGGACAAGCCGAGTAAGTTATGGTGAGCAAACCACCAAGCAGCGCTTCTTCATGGTCTCTGTGCCGTGTTACTCCAGGTTCCTCCTTGACTTCCTCCTGCCTCAGTTTCCCTAGATTCGGGACTAGAACCTATAAACAGTTACAAATAAAACTCCCGAGTTGCTTTTGGTCATAGTGTTTATCACAGCAATGGAAAGCAAAGTAGAACACTTTGCCTTCAAATCTAGATATCTGGGACTTCTTTGGAGCATTTAAAAGCCCCACAGTTAAAAAGAAGAATCTGGGGGTGATGGCGTGTACCTTTAATCCCAGTTCTTGGGAGGCAAGGGCAGATGGGTCTCTGAATTTGAAACCAACTCAGAGTGAGCTCCAGGACAGCCAGGGCTACACAGAGAAACCCCTGTCTCAAAAGACTAAAAAAAAAAAGACACAACTTCCATCAAAATGTAGAACCCATATGCTCTCTCTCTGAATTTGAAGCAAACTCAGTGACTTCCTCATATTAAAAAAACAAGCTGGTTGTGGTGGCGCCCGCCAGTAGGATTTGCTGAAGGAGACAGAGGCAGGAGGATCTCTGTGAGTTTGAGGCCAGCCTGGTCTACAGAGCAAGTGCCAGGACAGCCTCCAAAACAATACGGAGAAACCCTGTTTCGAAAACAAAAAACAAAAAACCCACAACAGAAGTGATGCTGTGTGACTTTGGGACCTAGACCTCAAACTATGAAACAGCTTTCAGCTTGCTTGCTGAAAAGGCAGTTGAGTCTTAGAGGCCTTGTGAGTCAGACCCCCCTGAAGTAGCCATACTAAGAGGAAGCCCCGGGTGCATTAAGAGTATGACTGGGTGTGGATACTTAGCTGGAGTGCAGTTTAACTGTCAGCCATGTGTTAAACATGCCTCCGGAGCATTCCAGCATCCACCATGAAGACACCCCCAGGCACTGAGTCTTTCTCTGCTGAAGCCCCAGACAGGGAGCAAAGAGATAAGCCACCTTTGTCTCGCTTTGTCTGAATTTTGAGGGTAGTTTCACAGTTTGCAAAAGGTAAGACTGTAGTATTTGACCTTCACAATGCTATAGTAACATAATGAACAAGCTTAAGTTCTTTGTTGTGTTTATTTGATATAGCTTACTTATATTGTTCTATTGTTAGATGGCCAACTTAGATTAGAATTATTATTATTACTATCATTTTATAGATTGAAAAACAAGACAAAATCAAGTACATGGTATGGAACCCTACCACTGAGGAAGCTGAGGCAGGAGGATGGTCAGTTTGAATTATAAAGTGAAAACCTAACTAAAATAAAGAGGAATTTAAGCTTACCCATTATGAGATTATATAGTCAAAATGTTGACATACTGGCACTAAACTCCTGAACTTTGAACACCAACGTTTATGCTTTCTCTTCTGGAAAGTGTGCAACATTTTTGTTAGTGTCTTTGGTTTGCTTTTTGTTTTTTTGTTTTTTGAGAGGATCTCACTATGTGAGCAATGGCTGTCTGGGATCTTGCTATGTCAGTCAGGCTGGCCTCAAACTCTTAGAGATCTGCTGGAATTAAAGGCATGTGCCACCGTACCATGCCTGGCTTAGACTTGTTTTAAAACTACCTACCATGGATCTTTCTTAGAATAACGAGCTGGCTGCTCTGTAGAACTGACTGTGCGCTCCCTGCATCACTTAGTTCCCAAAAGGTTTCATACCATTCATTACCAAGATGTATCTCTGTCATCTGGTGACTAGACCCTTACTTTCTCTCGACAAGTTCTGAGGCCTCACCGCACGCAAAAGTAGGTTCAAGTCCCTTGTCACTGTGTTCCTGGAGTTTATAATGAGCCAAGCCAGAACTGGATCTAAGCAGAAGCAGAACACCTTCCTTCTTGTAGTATGCTGTGTGAACATCAAAACAATACTCTCTTGCATTCTAAATTCTTACGGGTGCGTTGGTGAACAATTCTTGTAAGTGTGTCTCAACCTCCCTGCACCCTTCTGGAAACTGGGATGTAGGAAGCGCTGGAGTGAACTCTGCTACTGCTGCAGCTGCTGACTTAAATAGGTTGAGCTCTGCTGCGGCTCACCCCCCCCCCCCCCCGTAGGTATTTCTCCCCAGCCAGGACTTCTGTCTTTAATCCTGTTCTGTTAGACACTGGGTAATCCTGCCGGTCAGCAAGATCTGGTCCAACATTAATATGTTCAACTCCAAGGAAAGAAGTCAAGCAGCCGCCTTGTAAAAGCTTCTATAGGGTTTCAACTCGGTTCATTGATACATAGTTGATCACAGTTGGTTTTCCTTATGAAACGATGCCATTGTTATTATAACACACTCTTTGTCAC